GTTGTGTACTTGTATTGAGTTTGCAAGTGCAAGAGAGGGAAAGGGGAAAGAGACCTGTGACAGGAGTGAACGATGGGACGCATCTGAGCAGCTGCTAGCATGTTAACTCTGACTTGATTAATTTGCACAGGAAAAGTAGTCCTTTGTCGCTAGATATAAACCATGCGTGGGTTGCCAAATGTCCTGATCTATATGCTAAAATATAAACCGGCGTTGTCAACTCATGCGGCCGAATTACAGTGCTCTCGCTTATCAAGAGGCGCTGAGTCTGACACGATCTCTTGAAAGGCTAAAATCTCAACCTTAAACCTGCACTTCGAACAATTAAAACAAAACAAATAAATGGTTAGCTAATATCTTGGCGATATCAAATAAACTACCGAACACTTTAAGAAGTAAAAGGAGACGATAAATTCTAGATATCAATACAAGATCAAAGCACCACGATAATGCAGCATTTTTCCTTAATGTACTAGGTACAACAACTCATTTTCATGAACAAGTAACTGAATTGGACAAGAGAAAGAAGACAGAATATGGATGAGACAATGAGCTCAAGAAACACTAGCCCTAATTTTTTTGTTTTTTATTACTTTCGTTTTTGGAAGACAGAATATGGATGAGACAATGGATTAGGTACAACAACTCATTTTCGTTTTATTTATTTATTTATTTTTTTACTTTTGTTTTTGTTCAAGAAGGAGACTTTCCGGTATTTAAGATCGATACTACAAAAGCATGGCGGCATTGATGAAGATGTTAGCCATAGAATTGCAGCCGGTTGGTTGAAATGGCGTCAAGCTTCGGGCGTTCTCTGTGATAAGAGGGTGCCACAAAGGCTAAAAGGTAAGTTCTATAGGACGGCGATTCGCCCGGCGATGCTATACGGTGCTAAATGTTGGCCTACAAAAAGGCAACATGTCCAACAACTAAGTTGTTGGGAAAAATACGCTGAAATTTCCATGAAGTCGGATCTATAAAAGTGAAATAAAAATAAAAATTGGACACACCAAATTGATAACGGAGTTCGGCTAATAATGCCTACGTCTCCGGACTACTGCAGATATTTTATTGGGAAAAAGAAAATACACTCGTGTTTACAAACACTCTCAAACTCACTCACAACTCACAACTCAAATACACACAGAAGCTAAATTCTTGCTTGTGTGTATTTGAATTGTGAGTTGTGAGTGAGTTTGAGAGTGTTTGTGAACATGAGTGTATTTTCTTTTTTCCAATAAAATATCTGCAGTAGTCCGGAGACGTAGGCATTATTGGTCGAACTCCGTTATCAATTTGGTGTGTCCAATTTTTATTTTTATTTCACTTTTATAGATCCGACTTCATGAAAATTTCAGCGTATTTTTCCCAACAACTGGTATCAGAGCCAGATTGTTAATTCTGTATTTTTGTGTGGTGTTACTATTCTGTTGAAAAACGTGAATAGTACCAATTTTGTCGGCGCTACAATTTATCTACCGACGTGTTTTACAGACAATGGCTTTTTTTCAATTCGGACCACGACGGTGACGAGCATTGAGAAGGAATGACCTCATAAAGCGGTAAGCTCTATTGCCGCCTTACTCCTCGGAAATGGAACCGGCCCTCAAGTTCATCAAGATGCTACAGACCTGGAGGGTATTTGTTTGGAGTCAGCTTCCACAACTCAAGAATGGCATCGATCAGTCGCCTCATTAGCATAGCTTCATTTTATTCAGTTGGGTAATTGGGAAGTAGGAAATCACGTGTGGTGTGACCTGGCCCGCTATGGGGCGGTCGACCCCACTCGACATGTCCTATGATTTTATTTGCACTTTATTTACCTCATTAAGTCATACTATATTGAAGCAAAAGTTAAAATAGTCTCATATTCTAAGAGCATCTCTAATGCATTCTTTTGAAAGGGTAAAAAGTTATGCACCTAATCTAGATAGAAAATGTGTGAATAATATATCCTCCAATGCATTAGATTATGGGTCCTTTCATGCTTATGTGTAAAAAATTAATGTCAACATTGTCAAGCTCACTTTCTAATTTCTCACATTCTTTCTAACATGATGACTCATCATTTTGATAATTATTTGACACAAATTTTGAGCTTTTCATAAACTTGGAAAAATCACACCCTTACATTTATCCAATAAAACATTTGAGAATTTATTTGAATACAGTATAATTATTTGATGAGTTACAACTAAAATTTAAAAAATTTATCAAGAATAATGTCCTTAAAAGTAAAATATTATGTTCATGATGTTTGTTTGTTGAGTTATTGCAATTTTAATATTTTGTTGTTTTATTTTGAACCAATTAAAAAAATATTTATTGTGTGGTTATACATATTGTAACTGAGAAATTATTGAATAAATAATAATTTTATAAATTTGATGATATAAATAAAAATTAACTGAATCAACAAAAAATAACATCATGCATATAATTATTGAAATTTGTGGTTTTTTTCTAATATACTCTTTGATTTTATTAATAATTAAATAAATCCACATATAGTTGTTGAATGGATGCATTGGAGGCAACAATTCAAATGAAAGTTCTATTCTTTTAACATTCAGTTCATGTAGATTAAACATTAATCCATTGATTGACATGTGTTTAAATTTAATTAATGTTGAAAGTTGAGCATTGGAGATGCTCTAACAAGCCAACAAACACACCAATAGTCTTATAATTCAAAATATAACATTTCAAAATTGGCAAACAACTAAAATTAAAAACACGGTATAATTTTTTCAATTACTTACGAACACGAAGTCTAACAAAATCGACTAACAACAAAGTGCCCAAGATATATAGAATCTTCCCAACACCTCCATACGAACACAAAAAAGGCAACAATTTAGTGAAGTGAAAAAACACAATAATGAGGCAGTCTATGTGCATTTGTATCACAAATTAGTCAAAAACCTAGACAGTATATAAACGATTAGGGGTGACCAACGGTGCACCGAACCGAACCGCAAAAAACGAAAATTGGGGCTGACTACAACTCTACAAGTCTGCAAGTGACCGAAATTGGGGCAAGCCGCCGGAAAATTACACAATTTGAGAGAGTAAGCCGAAGGGAGAGCGAGGGATAGACTGATAGAGTGAGACAGTCGGAGAGGCGAGAGCAAGAGCTTACCTGACTTAAGGGAAGCGGCAGGCCGGTGGTTGGAGAGACAGAGAGCGACGCACGGGCAGAGAGAGGTTGAGCAGCGGCAGCGGCGGGCTAAGTGTGAAGAGTGAGATGGGAGACCGCGAGATGGGTCGTATTTGTGAACACGACACAGCGAGATGAATAAATTGTTGGGCCTAAGCTCATCTAAATAATGGTCGGAATGGACGTTGGGCTATAAATAATTTTCCATTCTCACAGGCCATGTATTGATATGAATAAAGCCCAGCCACCCAACAAAACAAATCAATTTTTTCATATAAACTACTTGTTGATTATAAATTTCATACTTAAAAAAAAAATGTAGAAGTTATAATTTAAAATTATTAAAACTTTCTTTAGATATTTTATTTTTATTTTATTTATAATAACATTCATCGCAACTTATATTACAATAATTTTTCTAATTCATATAATACAATAGTTTCGATACATATATTCATTCAATAATAAATAATAATTTTATTTTTTGTAAGTAAATAGATATAATTTCTTACGAAGGATATATAGATGTCGGATAAATATCGTCAGAAAAATATTAACTTGATATATCATATATAAAAAAAAGTGATAATAATTAAGAATATTAAATGTTAAAATGTAAGTACGATCTTAAGTTGACAAAGTATGTTAACTTAGGTAGAGTTTTAGGTAGAGTTGTCGGATGAAGTCGGAAAGTTCTCGGATAGAGATCAGTGACTTTAGGTAGAGTTTTTGCGTCAAAGATATTTTACAGATAACTGGAAAGGTAAATAAACTTGTTTTGAGCTAATATTTTGGTGTGATAAATCTAATGAATGAGACGAATTTAATGGTTCGTCAGCAGACCGAAATGGACATCTAATGATGCTGGAACATCACCCAAAAGGTAACAGCTTCTAAAGATTTGTTGCGCTGGAAACTTTTCACTAATAATTGAGTAGATAAATGAACTTTATTTGAGTTGATATTTCTAGGATTAAAACTATTAGACTAGATGAGTTCAATGATAAATCACCGACCCAAATGGCTGTCGGAAATTCACCAAAAAAGAGCAGTGATTTTGTGATGATTTGTTATGCAATGGATTTATTACAAACAATTGAACAAGTAAATGAACTTTATTTGAGTCAATAATATTTAGAAGATATTATCTACTCGACGAAACGAATCTAATGGTGGGTCACCTGGACAAATTGGACGTTAGATGGTGCTGGAAAGTTTCTGAGAAGAGAGCAGCAATTTTTACAGATTTTCCCCTTTGTTTTGGTTAAATTTGGGCCACATAATATCAATTTGGACCCAAAAAGAAAAAATGAGATGAAATGTATGTCAGATAAATGTATTAATGTGGCAAATTAAGTTAGATCATAACTCATATCCAATGCCCATCACCATTAGAAAGTACTATAATACAATCATCACAATTTTTTTCATATTACTTAAATTGTGTCGTCGTGTTTACTTTGGAAGCTCCTCCTCTGATTTCAAAAGTAGGTTCGTGAACAAAAAACCTACATTTCGTCGTGTTTACGCTAGAAGCTCCTTTTCAGTACTTTGCAGATTTCAAGATTTCAAAAGTCGGTTTGTTAACAAAACACCTGAACATTGTCGTGTTTACGCTGGAAGCTCCTTCTCAGTACTTTGCAGATTTCAAAAGTCGGTTCGTGAACAAAAAACCTGAACGTTGTCGTGTTTACGTTGGAAGCTCCTTCTCAACAGTGTAAGAATCGTTTACAAACCGAGTTCGACTCCTTAATTCATAAACGTGTCCATATTCGGAAATACACGAGAGTCCAGACGAACACTTCAATTACAACCATAACAAACAAGCCTTACCACTTTCCATTTCATTTTTTGTCCGTTTGTCGAAACACGACCTCTCTCTTCAAACACTGAGAAAAAAAAAAAGAAAAAAAAACCACGAATATCGTCAGCGCTTGTAAAGACCAAGCAGCGGTTTTTCTCTCTCCTCGACTCGTTTTCTGGCGGCCTCCCTCGCCTTACGAGCTTCCGCCTCCTCTTTGGACATGGGTTTGGTTTTCTCGTCTGCTCGTTTTCTCTTAACAGCGATGGACGATTGAGCCCCTTTCACGGACCTCATTGGGTTAGGCGGTGTCGACACCACACGTCCAGGTGGGGGCCCACTTTCGGAAGTCGAGGCAGTTTTATTGTTTTCCGAATTAGGTTTTCGCTGAGTGGGCCCTGGGGAAGCTTGAAAGGAAGCAAAGGCCTCTTCTTGAGTCACCCATTTACCTGTTTTGGTTTTTAGTAAAATTATTAGCAAGAATTTGAACTGAAGCTAGTTTTGTTTTAAATGAAAAAGAACTTAATTATACCTAGAGCTTCTGTATAGTAGAAGCCAGAGTTAGGATCATAGTAGCAGCTCGTTTTTCGGTTATAGTAGTAGCCAGATGAGCTCTCGACTTCCCAATCTGCAGATATTAAATAATTAAGGAAAAAAAAGGATAATCTGTGAATATATCATGAGAGAGATTCATTACAAGACTATAATGAAGCAATGAAATTTCACGTCAATCAGGAAGACTAGAAGCTGAGTGCAGATTTTCATATTACTGTACAGTTAAAGAAATATATTGCAGATTTTCATAAAATTGAAGAACTTCTAAAGCAACATCAGTCACATTAAAGACCGAATTATCTGTAAATCTGAGCATGAGGACAACATTCGTTACATTTGGAAAAAAGAATTTTCTCATCATATCTTCTACCAAATTCATAGCATCTACAAATTTCATCACATGGGCATGATTGTACAATTCCAACTCGTATAGCCGAAACACACACATAAAAAGAAAATAAAGAGAAATTAAAAAAAAATATTACCTCCAGGCATAGCTGAACCATCAGAAGTTCCTTGATTTTTATCTTCAGCAATAAGTGCCTGCGCATTAGTCTCTCTTGCCTCCTTAAAACTCTCCAAATCTTTCTGATAACTGCGCTTTGCTTTCTGTAAAAAATGTGGAATGTTTAACAACAATAAAAGAACTCGAGTACCACCATGCAGTACTAAACAAATAGAAGAACCAATTTAATAGATAAATGCTAAACAGAGCATTTAGTGTATCAAGTGCTAAACTTTGAGATAGCAGAATATCATATGAAATACTTATATTATCAGGATCATAACTTAGATAGCAACAAAACTTGCACCAAAGACATTAACAAATATTCTCCGAATTTGATGCCTTCCATTTATCGGCAACTTAATAATACCAAGTCAAGTTTAAGCAACAAAAGAAATACTTGCACAAGAGAAATTCACACAACTTGTAAAAAATCATAAAAGCAAGCAAAAAATCATGTAGTCAACTTTAATGAACAAAAATATACCACCACTTAGTTAAATGGGCAGAGCCCTTTCACCACCATAGCCAAATACACACACACACACACACACACATTAGAAGAGGCAAAAGAAAAGGGGGGGAAAAAAGCTCTTTCTGGAGAAGGTGGTTTCTAATTTCTTCAAGAATCACTAGATCTTATTCAGAAAAGTGTGATTACTTACAGCTTCAATTTGTTCGAGGACACGAGCCGCTTGCTTTTCTGCCTTATCTTTCGCGGCTTTCTCTTCCCGCATGTCATTAAGCCTCTTGGAAACATTATCCTTGTGCCGTTGACCGAACTCATGATTCCTAATGCTGGCCAGATTATTCGATATGAAAATCTTGCATGTGTCACACCATTTGTTCCCTTGACTTACCCAGTACTGGGATAACAACAAAAGCATACGGGACAGAGAATTTTTCTCAGATAACGAGAGCTACATAATGTGTTGGGATACTCGAGACAGTCACAGAACATGATCATCATGGAAAAAAAAAATATTTTGATAAATAATAAAGATTAATCTTGCTAACAAATCTGTAAGCTCAATCATATCTCAAATGTGTCTTTATCTTCTTTAATATAAACCCATCATCTTTTCACAAGCAGGAGCAAGCATATCCATCAATACGCATTATTACGCCGCCCATTGATAATAAGAAAAAATGGAATCTTGCATTAGCCATGACCAATTTACACATGCCCTTGCGAGTACACGCGAGCTAAAATGTCTGAGTGCTTCAATTCAATTGCTTTTGGGTTGAATTTAACAATTGGCTTCACCTCAACACTATCAAACACAGATTTCCGAAGCTAGAAATGTTAGTTTTCTTGAATGAACTCACCACCAATACTATTATCGACATTACAAAAACCAAAATAAGCAGATTTTTTGGATTTGTCTTGTATAACACAAACCCATCATTTTTCCACAAGCAGGTGAAAGCAAATCCATCACTACACATAGTTATGCCCATTGATTAAAAGAAAAATGGAATCTTGCATTGGCCATGACGAAGTTACTCGTGCCCCATTGAGGGTTTACACGCAACTTCAATTCAATTGCTTTCGAGTTGAATTTACTAATTGGATTCTCCACAACACTATCAAACACATATTTTTCGATGCTAGAAACGTTGTTTTCTTGAATGAACTCACCACCAATATGATTGCCGACATTACAAATACCCAAATAAGCAGTTTTCTTGGATCGCAATAACTGAAATTATTTATCAACAATTGAAAATTGCAGAGAAGTGAACTCGTACCTCTGTCATGGCTACCGACCACTTTCAAATCTACGACAACAAAATCAACGAATTTGCAAGAACGTCGTTTTCCTCCTTCTTGCAGTAGCTGAAGATTAAAAATTAAAACCCTGCAATCCGGGATGTTTGTTTAAAGGGGACGGTCAAAGCTTGTTTTTATTTAAAAGACTCCACAAAAAACGAAAATTGGGGCTGACTACAACTCTACAAGTCTGCAAGTGACCGAAATTGGGGCAAGCCGCCGGAAAATTACACAATTTGAGAGATTAAGCCGAAGGGAGAGCGAGGGATAGACTGATAGAGTGAGACAGTCGGAGAGGCGAGAGCAAGAGCTTACCTGACTTAAGGGAAGCGGCAGGCCGGTGGTTGGAGAGACAGAGAGCGACGCACGGGCAGAGAGAGGTTGAGCAGCGGCAGCGGCGGGCTAAGTGTGAAGAGTGAGATGGGAGACCGCGAGATGGGTCGTATTTGTGAACACGACACAGCGAGATGAATAAATTGTTGGGCCTAAGCTCATCTAAATAATGGTCGGAATGGACGTTGGGCTATAAATAATTTTCCATTCTCACGGGCCATGTATTGATATGAATAAAGACCAGCCACCCAACAAAACAAATCAATTTTTTCATATAAACTACTTGTTGATTATAAATTTCATACATAAAAAAAAAAAATGTAGAAGTTATAATTTAAAATTATTAAAACTTTCTTTAGAAATTTTATTTTTATTTTATTTATAATAACATCCATCGCAACTTATATTACAATAATTTTTCTAATTCATATAATACAATAGTTTCGATACATATATTCATTCAATAATAAATAATAATTTTATTTTTTGTAAGTAAATAGATATAATTTCTTACGAAAGATATATAGATGTCGGATAAAGATCGTCAGAAAAATATTAACTTGATATATCATATATAAAAAAAAGTGATAATAATTAAGAATATTAAATGTTAAAATGTAAGTACGATCTTAAGTTGACAAAGTATGTTAACTTAGGTAGAGTTTTAGGTAGAGTTGTCGGATGAAGTCGGAAAGTTCTCGGATAGAGATCAGTGATTTTAGGTAGAGTTTTTGCGTCAAAGATATTTTACAGATAACTGGAAAGGTAAATAAACTTGTTTTGAGCTAATATTTTGGTGTGATAAATCTAATGAACGAGACGAATTTAATGGTTCGTCAGCAGACCGAAATGGACATCTAATGATGCTGGAACATCACCCAAAAGGTAACAGCTTCTAAAGATTTGTTGCGCTGGAAACTTTTCACTAATAATTGAGTAGATAAATGAACTTTATTTGAGTTGATATTTCTAGGATTAAAACTATTAGACTAGATGAGTTCAATGATAAATCACCGACCCAAATGGCTGTCGGAAATTCACCAAAAAAGAGCTGTGATTTTGTGATGATTTGTTATGCAATGGATTTATTACAAACAATTGAACAAGTAAATGAACTTTATTTGAGTCAATAATATTTAGAAGATATTATCTACTTGACGAAACGAATCTAATGGTGGGTCACCTGGACAAATTGGACGTTAGATGGTGCTGGAAAGTTTCTGAGAAGAGAGCAGCAATTTTTACAGATTTTTCCCTTTGTTTTGGTTAAATTTTGGCCACGTAATATCAATTTGGACCCAAAAAGAAAAAATGAGATGAAATGTATGTCAGATAAATGTATTAATGTGGCAAATTAAGTTAGATCATAACTCATATCCAATGCCCATCACCATTAGAAAGTACTATAATACAATCATCACAATTTTTTTCATATTACTTAAATTGTGTCGTCGTGTTTACTTTAGAAGCTCCTCCTCTGATTTCAAAAGTAGGTTCGTGAACAAAAAACCTACATTTCGTCGTGTTTACGCTAGAAGCTCCTTCTCAGTACTTTGCAGATTTCGAGATTTCAAAAGTCGGTTTGTTAACAAAACACCTGAACATTGTCGTGTTTACGCTGGAAGCTCCTTCTCAGTACTTTGCAGATTTCAAAAGTCGGTTCGTGAACAAAAAACCTGAACGTTGTTGTGTTTACGTTGGAAGCTCCTTCTCAACAGTGTAAGAATCGTTTACAAACCGAGTTCGACTCCTTAATTCATAAACGTGTCCATATTCGGAAATACACGAGAGTCCAGACGAACACTTCAATTACAACCATAACAAACAAGCCTTACCACTTTCCATTTCATTTTTTGTCCGTTTGTCGAAACACGACCTCTCTCTTCAAACACTGAGAAAAAAAAAAAGAAAAAAAAACCACGAATATCGTCAGCGCTTGTAAAGACCAAGCAGCGGTTTTTCTCTCTCCTCGACTCGTTTTCTGGCGGCCTCCCTCGCCTTACGAGCTTCCGCCTCCTCTTTGGACATGGGTTTGGTTTTCTCGTCTGCTCGTTTTCTCTTAACAGCGGTGGACAATTGAGCCCCTTTCACGGACCTCATTGGGTTAGGCGGTGTCGACACCACACGTCCAGGTGGGGGCCCACTTTCGGAAGTCGAGGCAGTTTTATTGTTTTCCGAATTAGGTTTTCGCTGAGTGGGCCCTGGGGAAGCTTGAAAGGAAGCAAAGGCCTCTTCTTGAGTCACCCATTTACCTGTTTTGGTTTTTAGTAAAATTATTAGCAATAATTTGAACTGAAGCTAGTTTTGTTTTAAATGAAAAAGAACTTAATTAGACCTAGAGCTTCTGTATAGTAGAAGCCAGAGTTAGGATCATAGTAGCAGCTCGTTTTTCGGTTATAGTAGTAGCCAGATGAGCTCTCGACTTCCCAATCTGCAGATATTAAATAATTAAGGAAAAAAAAGGATAATCTGTGAATATATCATGAGAGAGATTCATTACAAGACTATAATGAAGCAATGAAATTTCACGTCAATCAGGAAGACTAGAAGCTGAGTGCAGATTTTCATATTACTGTACAGTTAAAGAAATATATTGCAGATTTTCATAAAATTGAAGAACTTCTAAAGCAACATCAGTCACATTAAAGACCGAATTATCTGTAAATCTGAGCATGAGGACAACATTCGTTACATTTGGAAAAAAGAATTTTCTCATCATATCTTCTACCAAATTCATAGCATCTACAAATTTCATCACATGGGCATGATTGTACAATTCCAACTCGTATAGCCGAATCACACACATAAAAAGAAAATAAAGAGAAATTAAAAAAAAATATTACCTCCAGGCATAGCTGAACCATCAGAAGTTCCTTGATTTTTATCTTCAGCAATAAGTGCCTGCGCATTAGTCTCTCTTGCCTCCTTAAAACTCTCCAAATCTTTCTGATAACTGCGCTTTGCTTTCTGTAAAAAATGTGGAATGTTTAACAACAATAAAAGAACTTGAGTACCACCATGCAGTACTAAACAAATAGAAGAACCAATTTAATAGATAAATGCTAAACAGAGCATTTAGTGTATCAAGTGCTAAACTTTGAGATAGCAGAATATCATATGAAATACTTATATTATCAGGATCATAACTTAGATAGCAACAAAACTTGCACCAAAGACATTAACAAATATTCTCCGAATTTGATGCCTTCCATTTATCGGCAACTTAATAATACCAAGTCAAGTTTAAGCAACAAAAGAAATACTTGCACAAGAGAAATTCACACAACTTGTAAAAAATCATAAAAGCAAGCAAAAAATCATGTAGTCAACTTTAATGAACAAAAATATACCACCACTTAGTTAAATGGGCAGAGCCCTTTCACCACCATAGCCAAATACACACACACACACACACACACACACATTAGAAGAGGCAAAAGAAAAGGGGGGAAAAAAGCTCTTTCTGGAGAAGGTGGTTTCTAATTTCTTCAAGAATCACTAGATCTTATTCAGAAAAGTGTGATTACTTACAGCTTCAATTTGTTCGAGGACACGAGCCGCTTGCTTTTCTGCCTTATCTTTCGCGGCTTTCTCTTCCCGCATGTCATTAAGCCTCTTGGAAACATTATCCTTGTGCCGTTGACCGAACTCATGATTCCTAATGCTGGCCAGATTATTCGATATGAAAATCTTGCATGTGTCACACCATTTGTTCCCCTGACTTACCCAGTACTGGGATAACAACAAAAGCATACGGGACAGAGAATTTTTCTCAGATAACGAGAGCTACATAATGTGTTGGGATACTCGAGACAGTCACAGAACATGATCATCATGGAAAAAAAAAATATTTTGATAAATAATAAAGATTAATCTTGCTAACAAATCTGTAAGCTCAATCATATCTCAAATGTGTCTTTATCTTATTTAATATAAACCCATCATCTTTTCACAAGCAGGAGCAAGCATATCCATCAATACGCATTATTACGCCGCCCATTGATAATAAGAAAAAATGGAATCTTGCATTAGCCATGACCAATTTACACATGCCCTTGCGAGTACACGCGAGCTAAAATGTCTGAGTGCTTCAATTCAATTGCTTTTGGGTTGAATTTAACAATTGGCTTCACCTCAACACTATCAAACACAGATTTCCGAAGCTAGAAATGTTAGTTTTCTTGAATGAACTCACCACCAATACTATTATCGACATTACAAAAACCAAAATAAGCAGATTTTTTGGGTTTGTCTTGTATAACACAAACCCATCATTTTTCCACAAGCAGGTGAAAGCAAATCCATCACTACACATAGTTATGCCCATTGATTAAAAGAAAAACGGAATCTTGCATTGGCCATGACGAAGTTACTCGTGCCCCATTGAGGGTTTACACGCAACTTCAATTCAATTGCTTTCGGGTTGAATTTACTAATTGGATTCTCCACAACACTATCAAACACATATTTTTCGATGCTAGAAACGTTGTTTTCTTGAATGAACTCACCACCAATATGATTGCCGACATTACAAAAACCCAAATAAGCAGTTTTCTTGGATCGCAATAACTGAAATTATTTATCAACAATTGAAAATTGCAGAGAAGTGAACTCGTACCTCTGTCATGGCTACCGACCACTTTCAAATCTACGACAACAAAATCAACGAATTTGCAAGAACGTCGTTTTCCTCCTTCTTGCAGTAGCTGAAGATTAAAAATTAAAACCCTGCAATCCGGGCTGTTTGTTTAAAGGGGACGGTCAAAACTTGTTTTTATTTAAAAGACTCCTTCAAAATGTTTTTTGTTTTTATTTAAAAGCCTACTTCAAAATGTTTTTTGTTGAAATAACCTTTACATTAAATAGAGGTAAAAAGAATAATAGAAATATCTAAAATACCTTTAGATAGTAAATGACTAAGGTACCTTTCTTTTATTTTGTTATCAACTTTGTAGAAAAAAAAAAAGAATCATACGAATCGCTCTACTCTCTTCTCTTGAAAAAAAATCTTACGAATCGCTCATCTCTTCTCTTGTCCTGAAAAGGTAAGAACAAAACCTGATCATGTTTCATAAAACTTTGGATTCTATATTGCAAAAAAAAATGTGTGATGGTGGAAGAACTACAAAAAAAACATCACCTTTATTTTAGATAAAACATGTTGGTAGGGTTTGTTGTTATTTTAGAGATAAAGCATTTTGAGTCATATTTTATGATTGATAAACATGTTGGTTTCATATTTATCATATTTTTGTGGCATTGAGGTTTTTTTTTTTACATAACGAATGTACAGTCGTTATATTGTTTCATAACGAATGTACATTCTTATATGAAGAAAATCTCATAATGAATGTATATTTGTTATCTAGTTATTTCTTAGTCAATGTATATCCATTATTAGATGTTTATTTCATAAGGAATGTAATTTCGTTATGACATATCCCTATTTTTTTATCTACATGTTTATCTAATTTTTTCATCTTTGGACATTGGTGTTATTTTCGGACAAAAGGAATGTAAACCGTCGTGGCGCGACATGTTGGTGTTATTTTCGAACAGAAAGCTGTCCAGGATGTCACGGGCGCGACGTCACTCGCGGGCGTGACATATGCGACCGTCGCTGGCGTGACACGCATCGCGGTCGCGACACCAAATGTCAACCTACAGAAGGGCGCGACAACCTGTCGCGGTCGCGACACGCAGGCTGTCGCGGGCGTTTTTAATTTTTGTTTGGTTTTCTTTTGTAGTCGCGACGAAACTCATTTTGTGAAATAATGATACTTGTTTCCTTGGTCATATACAATACATGATGTAAAATAACAATACATGTTCTTTTTTTAAAATAACAATACATGTTCTTTTTTTTTTGGAAAATGGAAATATGATGTAAAATGTTTGTACATTCGATATTTTACATGAAAAATGACTAAAATTAGACCGATAACGAAATTAATATCTTTATAATGGCTTATATGACGAATGCACGGTCGTTTAATGTGGATTGTGGTCGAAAAACAACCATAACGATTGTACATTCGTTATTTTAATGTTACAACGAATGTACAATCGTTATAGTTGTTTTCCGTAACAAAACGCGTTTTCTTTACGGTTTTTTTGATCGAATTACTTGATAACGCATGTATATTCATGTTACGTGTCATTGGAACGATAGTTTGAAGGTGTTAGAAGTCGAAACACTTACAACGAAACTCGTTTTTAAAATAACAATACATGTTCTTTTTTTTTTTGTTTTTGGAAAATGGAAATATGATGTAAAAATGTTTGTACATTCGTTATTTTACATGAAAAATGACTAAAATTAGACCGATAACGAGTTTAATATCTTCATAATGGCTTATATAACGAATGCACGGTCGTTTAATGTGGATTTTGATTGAAAAACAACCATAACGATTGTACATTCGTTATTTCAATGTTATAACGAATGTACAATCGTTGTAGTTGTTTTCTGTAACAAAATGCACTTTTTTATGGTTTTTTCAATCGAATTACTTGATAACGCATGTATATTCATGTTACGTGTCATTGAAACGATAGTTTGAAGGTGTTAGAGCGTCGAAACACTCACAATGAAACTCGTTTTTAAAATAACAATACATGTTCTTTTTTTTGTTTTTGAAAAATGGAAAGATCATGTAATATCTTTGTAAATTCGTTATTTTAACTTAAAAATTACCAAAATTAGATCTATAACGAGTTTAATATCTTTATAATGTATTATATGATGAATGCATGGTCGTTTAAGGTGAATTTGGTCGAAAAACAACCATAATTAATGCACATTCGTTATAACGAATGTACATTTGTTATAGTTGTTTTTCGACACAAACGCGATTTCTTTATGGTTTTTTCGATCGAATTACTTGATAACGCATGTATATTGATATTACATGTCATCAGAATGATAGTTTGAAGTTTTTAGAGCGTCGAAACACTCACAACGAAACTCTTTTTTGAAATAACAATACTTGTTCTTTTTTTTTGTTTTTGAAAAATGGAAAGATCATGTAATATCTTTGTAAATTTGTTATTTTAACTTAAAAATGACCAAAATTAGACCTATAACGAATTTAATATCCTTATAATGTATTATATGACGAATGCATGGTTGTTTAAGGTTTATTTGGTCGAAAAACAATCATAACGAATGTACATTCGTTATAGTTGTTTTTCGACACAAACGCAATTTCTTTATGATTTTTTCGATCGAATTACTTGATAACGCATGTATATTGATGTTACATGTCATCAGAACGATAGTTTGAAGTTTTTAGAGCGTCGAAACACTCACAACGAAACTCTTTTTTGAAATAACAATACTTGTTCTTTTTTTTGTTTTTGAAAAATGGAAAGATCATGTAATATCTTTGTAAATTCGTTATTTTAACTTAAAAATGACCAAAATTAGACTTATAACGAGTTTAATATCTTTATAGTGTATTATATGACGAATGCACGGTCGTTTAAGGTGGATTTTGTCGAAAAACAAACATAACGAATGCACACGAATGTGCATTCGTTATGGTTGTTTTTCGACACAAACGCGATTTGTTTATGATTTTTTCGATCGAATTACTTGATAACGCATGTATATTAATGTTACATGTCATCGGAACGATAGTTTGAAGTTTTTATAGCGTCGAAACACTCACAACGAAACTCTTTTTTGAAATAACAATACATGTTCTTTTTTTTTTTTTTTTTGAAAATGGAAATATGATGTGAAAATGTTTGTACATTCGTTATTTTACACAATAACGAATGTACATTCGTTATACCATACAAAATAACACTTGTACAATCGTTATATTGAAACGATTATATGTCACAGTCGCGAAATGTGTCACGGGCGCGACACTGGGCCCTGTTCTTGGTCGGACAGAGAAGGTTGCTTGGACAAGCAAGTTTTAATTTTTTTTCGCAATAACGAATGTACATTATGAAATAACGATTGTACAATCGTTATATTGAAACGATTGTACAATCGTTATATTGAAACGATTATATGTCGCGGTCGCGACACGTGTCGCGGGCGCGACACTGGGCCCTGATCTTGGTTGGACAGAGAAGGTTGCCAGGACGTCGCGGCCGCGATGGACGTCGCGCCAGCGACAAGCAAGTTTTATTTTTTTTTTCAAAATAACGAATGTATATTCGTTATTTCATAAAAAATAACCACTGTACGTTCGTTATTTTTTAAACGACTTGTAATCAGTTCCTCGACTTATTTTCGGGAGCTCGGCATCAATCCCCTTCGTTATTTGTTACATTAAAACTTCTCATTATAGTAATATCTTTAACCATTTTGATAAAATACTATTATAACTACTGCATTGGGAAGTACGTAAAAAATACAACTTCAAAAATCGACCACCCGCATCATTGCATTGAAAAACACATGAAAAACAATAGACCAGTCAAAATATAAGTTCAAGGCTTAGCAAATCGCTTCCAACACATATAAAATAATACATCAGTCAAAACGTGATTTCCAAAACATCCCTACAAGCCATTTAATATTCAATTCCTAAAAGAAACTAAGGATCAAAATGTGAAACAAATATCTCAACTGCTAGTTTATCACGCTAACAGGAAATTACTTTTTCATCTATGACTTTAACATTCATCCTGACATGCAAAAACTCGATGAACTTGATTGTAAACATTCCACAGTCAGACCTGCAATATAAATGTACAATATCTATTAGTTTACCAAGTTTCATAACACACTAATAAACCTGATATGATCAAAATATATGTTATACGTACAAATTTGTTTGGCTAGGAGATTGTAACTGTTTCAAATCAAACTTTTCTACACTGTAGTTAGCATCCCTTTTCACCATCCTCATTAGCATAGGTATCATAACTTGAATGAGCTCCAATTCCTTATCAAATTGTGCCTCCTAACCATGCAAGAATGAAAAATCCAGTTGTACCTCACACATAAGATCCCAAAGATCACCCACCACAAATTTATACAAACTACATGAAAATGTAAACATGCTACACTGATACCGGACAATCTCCACTGTCATGCATGGACAAAAAACCAACAGATCAATTATCAAGAGATCTTCATACACACTACAAACATACTATAACACAACTTCAAGACCAAATTGATCCTCATACATAATAATAACACAGCCTCAAGACCAAACATATGTCAAAAAACCCATTGGAGAGACCACAAATTGACTCTACACATACTTAGATCCTTCATAAAACTTACACATTCTTTTAAATAAACATTCAATATTACAGAGCAACTCAATCAACGTCTAGGATTTGTACAAGCTGCACAACATTCTCGCATCATAGTGATAATTATATTCTCAGGTGGACTACATTGACAATGCTTGGATAATAACAAAACAAAACTATGGTTGATCACTTTGATCTCCATCACTGGTTAAGTTACATTATGCAAAAACCAAAAAAAAAAAAAAAAAAAAAAAAAAAAAAAAAAAAAAAAAATACATGTCATTGATATATAGTTGAATCTAAAACCTAAGCAAATTGCAAATGTAATATATATGGTGAATTGTACATGTTATGCTAAAAGCAAACATTCACTTGGGTACCATCTAAAAATGAAATTTGCAAGTGATAAGAGTGGTAACAAAGAAGTTTTCACCAAACCATATTGCAGTTGGAATATATTACGTAACTTATAATATGATTATACTCTTAAGTATAAAATTATTTTTGACTTTCAAGCAACACAAATTTTCACACATCTGCATAATGTAAATAACTCATTCAAAATGTGAAAATAAGTATGATGATTACAGAGAATATCAAACTACATTGGTAACACAAAATTGGTGACACTATCAGATAATAACCATATTACAGGTTTGTCAAAATCACACTACATTGGTAACACTGTCAGTGCATCACTACCAAATACGATAACTCGTCTACCCTTTTTGTGCAAAAATCAAGCAACTAAAATTACCAAGAACACAAAATTAAGAATCACATAAGAATTAGAGAGTGCACAAAAGGGATCATATGAATAAGAGCTGAAATTAAGAATCACATGAATAACTGATATTTCAGATACACCACAATTTACAAAACCAAAAACCCAATTCCGTACCAAAAATTTAAATAAATAAAAAAAAACGTACTGCAGAGAGAGGGAGGGCGTGACTGAAAATTTACAAAAAAAAAAAAGGTACACAAATACACCACAATTTACAAAACCAAAAACCATATTCCGTACTGAAAATTTAAATAAATAAAGTTAATGAAGGTACAATCGTTATAGGTGTATTTAATCGAAAAATAACCATAACGAATGTACATTCGTTATGATGTATGAAACAACGAATGTACATTCGTTATGGGGAAAATCATAATGAACGTGCTCTCGTTATAGTTTTTTTGATGGCATGCCGTGTTAACTATTGTATCTTGGTCATATCTTGGTCAAAATAACCATAACGAGAGCACATTCGTTATGATTTTCAAAATAACGAATGTACATTCGTTCATAATTGTATCGTCGTTATAAGTAACCACTATAACGAATGGATTAACGATACTTGTTGCCACATTGAAAGAGTGAAAAGCTTTCAAAAATTGTTCTTCATAATTATAATATTAAGAGTAACCTGTAAGCAAAATACACAAACCATTTGATTAAGTCACATTAAAAGTGCATCAAACATTTGATTGCAAACTGAAAGGAACTCCAAACCATTTGATAACTCAATGTCTGTACAAAGCTGAATAAGGGCACAAAACTAATATTTTAAATACCCCCAAATTTACAATGTAAAAAACTAAATTCAGTACCCTAAATTAAAAAAAGGAAAACTTACTACAGAGAGATGTCGGACGAGGGGGAATGACTGCGACGGGCCGGCCGAGAGGGCGTGAGCGTGAAAAGAGGCGACAGAAGACGAGCAAGAAGAAAAATTGAAGAAGAGAGGCAGATGTGGACGGCAAATTTGAAAGAAAAATTTGAAGAAAAAATTGAAGAAAAAAGGTAAAGGTATAACCAATTTTGTGTTGAGGGTATATTGGTAAAGGACAATTTAATATGATTACTTATTAAATTTTATTGTTAATTTTGGGTGAAAGGTCATTTAAACAAATAGTTATGTAGAATGGGTTAGATGACACAATTTCCACATTTTTGTCTGCAAAATAGCACAAAATATATTTATTCGAAGTGAAAACGGGGAGATGAATAGCGATTAGCGGGAAGAGCACTGGCAAAACGATGTAAAAAATTTTCGTGTGGCGCCTCTTCTTCCCAACATAGAAATCAGATTCCCCCCAAAACATTGGACCAAACACCAAGTCAAGTGGTTTTTTGTAAACCCCAAATTATTTAACAAAGCGTATTCTATCTAGAGCTGGAAAACCTTGTCCCAACTATTTTGGAGGGCTCTTGATAGTGGCCATGGTGATGGGTTCCGCTACTGTTTCAAATCGGAGTGTATCTGAAAAGGAGAGAGTTAAAAAAGGAAGCAAGCTCCAGAAAAATGGTGTTACTACTTCTCCTGCAAAAAGGAATAAAAACCCCGAGATCCGGGTCGTGGGTGCCCGGATTTATGACCCCATTAATGGGAAAACTTGCCATCAGGTGCTCGGTCTCATTACAAGAAAACCTCTATTTGTTGGTTGATATTTAATTGATAGCTGTTTTTCCATAAATTTTTCCTATGTTGATTATTAATGTTTCTTTGCAAGGCAAATGGGCTGCATGCAAGTAACTTCTTTTATTCGTTTTTTGTTGATCTAAGTATCTATGACGAGCCAGGGATGAATTGGTGTTTATGTTTGGAAAGTCATGACTGGCATAAGCTGAGAGATCATATGTAAGCAGAAGTGGAAAGTGGATCACTCACAAATATCTAAATTAGATATGTGAAGTTGAAACAAAAATTAAATGTGAAGTACATGTCTTAAAAGTATTGATCCTCTCATTCTTGTCTTGTTCTTTCTTGAGTTTATTTTCTGAAGTTTGAATGCTGACAATTAAAACTTCCTTTAATGCATTCAGGGGCACCAGTGTTGGTGCAGGCTTATTTTTGGAAGTATCACTTGTTGCATAACACATAACCGCATTATCCTTTTATGTCCAGGATGCTTATACTAGACATTGATTGTTTTCATATTATTTGGTGTTAAATTCAGAGTTAAAACAAAAAATGGAAAATAAAAGAAAGATAAAACTAGTTTCAGCTACTGTCTTCATAGTTGGTTTTTGTTCTCTTGCTTTTGAATATTCCCAACGGGATCTATTTATTTTTGTAAGAATTGTTGTTAATATATATTTGCATCCAGCCACATTCATTAATTGGTTTGAACTTATCCCTCACATTATAAAATTTTAAATTTTGTAGTGTCGCCAAAAAACCATGGATTTCGTGGCAGCTTGCACGAATCTGAAGAACAACAAGCGATGCACCCTTATGTTGTGTCATAAGTGCCTTTTGAACAGGTCATTTGAATTGTTTTCCAGTTTCGTCTTTTTGAAAGCGCACAGTCGTATGTATATTGATTTTACCTTTTTCATTTTTTCCATATGATTTTTTGAAGTAGGTATGGTGAGAAGGCAGAAGAAGTTGCTGACATGAAGGAGTGGATCTGTCCCAGGTGCAGAGGCATATGCAACTGCAGTATTTGCATGTGAGTTTCCCGAATTATTTCAAATTGGTGTTTTTGTATTTACCTGACATTATAATTTTGAAATATTCAGGAAAAAAAGAGGTCATCAACCCACTGGTATACTTATAAATACAGCCAAGGCAACTGGATTTTCATCTGTTTCAGAGATGCTACTTATGGGAGCAGGACACTTAAGTAACACAGCACACTCTCCCAAGAAGGTGGTTTCATACAAATTGTTCAAGTTTACTCATTTAATTGTGTCTATGTTAGTGAGTAGCGAATCTGGGTATAAGGATATGTCATTAGCTTGGCTGTTTTCATTACCTGTCACTTATGGTTGCTACTTATGGTTGCTGGATTATTTCAGTTTAGGCTACAGTCATCTGCATCCAACAATTGCTATTTCTACAAATTCTTTATACTTATTTTAGACTAGTACAATACCAGTGTATTACACGGGTGCTTGTGAAAAAAAATATACTTAAAATTTAAAAATTAATAAGAAAAGTTTATTTTAAATTTTAAATGTTTTTTTTGAAAAAATATATTATTATTTATATTATTATTTATATTTAAAATGACACCATCACATATACAACTTACTCGTCTTATACTAAAATATTTATTTTAACTTATACCATTTAACTAATTTGTAGTTAAATTTTTTAATTGATAAGTAATTTTATTTTTTCAATTAAAATTAGTAGTTAATTTAGTTTTTATATGTAAATATAAATATAATTATTTATTTAATTTATCATACAATATAGATGTCAAATTAAAGCTAATGAAGAGATTATTTATTTGATATATTATAAATGAAAAATTAATAATAAATATAAAAGTTAACTTTTAAAATATATTTACAATCTAAGTTAGTAAAGTATATTATAATTTAGAAAAAAAATTAGGAGAAAAAGAAAGATTGAGGAAAATAATTTTCGTGCCTTATAAACAATGCTCAAAATAGGAAATTGTATTAAAACACAATTAATGCTAATAAAAATGGTCATATATACCGAGTATTTATATGGATAATTCCAAGCCTAATTATTTATGGATTGGAAGTAAATTAAAAGCTATCTAAGCCAAATGACGAAGCATGAAAATTTTGTCACATAGGATCTCGAAGCGTGGGAATCTGTCACTTAGGCTCAGCACATTCGAGAATTATATATAGGGGGTTAGCTAAGTTAATTATCAATTAATACTATCATTCAGCATTATATTCCCATCTTCTTCCTACTTTAGTCCTCATCAGACCACACATAGACAGCCGGCATGCACTTACCATGAAAGTGAACAGATAGACAGACAAACGCACAACCGTACGCCCGTGTGTACACAAACTTATTCACTCATACAGGCAGGCACTCACACTCATACTCACACTGATAAGTACATGCACTGGCACACACAAAGACTACCAAACTGGAATAATGCTGGATCCAACAGCCTTGATGGCTCGTTGATGTAGTGGGTTTGATGGCGGTGGTGTTGGATCATGTGTTTCTGGCCGTCGATAACATTTTTTTTTTTTTTTTTCTTTTTGTGTGTGTGTGTAGTAGCAAATATTCTTTCTTGTGTTGAAGTAAAGAAGGCAATTTATGGTGGAAATCAACAGCAATTTGCATTTATGGAAAAAGTAAGTGTGGTCATATAAAGCAAATGGGGTAAAATAGTAATATGGACGGAGTTAATAACCGGTCCGTGGGCCGAAGACCATTGGAATTAGGGTTATATATAAGCAGATTAACATTGCTCCTAGGTTATTATCGCCGGCTAAGTGGGGTGGGATTCTCGGCTAACTCTTATTGGCCGCCGTAGTCTGGTCGTGATTGTTCTCATGGAAAATGTATTGATTTGATTTAATTTATAAGTAGTTGTAATTTTTCTGGTTTACTTTTATCCATGTCTCTATTTTTTCTGCACAAATGTTTACAATCATTTAAAAGGAAAGGCCATTCTCAGCTTGTATGGAAGAAATCTTTCAGAATGTTGATCTATTCGCTCATTTTTTTTCCCTCTTATGCTTTGGGTATTTGACTTACAGGAGGTTCTCTCTTCACCTGGAAAACGGGGGAAGGAAAATTCATTTGATGGAAAACTAGATGTGAATTTACCGAATCAAATTGAGAAGAAGTCCAAGGAAGTTAAGGAGACTCAGAAAGGGAATATTGAAGAGAATGGCCCTATGAACGTAACTAGCGGAAGCCCTAATAAAAGAAAATTGAAGCAGGATGTACACGAGTTTACTAAGGAGCCTAGAAATGAAGAAATTGGTTCATGTGGCTCTGAAAAAATGCCAAAGAAAAAGAAGGTGAATGGATCAGAAGAGATGAATATTGAGAAAAATGAAAAAGAAATCAAGAAGACTAGTCTAAATGGTGATGCTATGAAGCTGAAAAGATCAAGGAAGAACAAGTCAGAAAATGATTATAGCAGGAAAAATGAGGCCACCTTAGCAAGGAGGACAAGCCCTCGAAAGTTGAAAGTTTGCAGTGACTTGCCCCACCAAGTGGTGGAACTAGAAAATGCAGTCGACCAGGGCAAAAATGTCAAGGATACTAATATCACTACTGAAAAAAATTGTATGGATATGAATAAGTGCCAAGTTGCAGATTGGCGAGTGAACATTCAATTGCCTGTAGGGAAAGAGTTGAACAGTGTTGCTGGAATTGATGTACGAGCAGAAGATGTTGGTAATGCCTTGCAGTTTTTAGAATTCTGTGCTGCTTTTGGCAAGGCAAGTGATTTTCTTCCCCCCCTTTTTATTTCTTTGTTCTTTTATTTCTAACAATGTATTTGCTAACTTTCTCTCTTTGTCTTATTGGAATTGTATCTTCATTGTATTGCTCTATATCATTGACCTCTAGCATGCATAATCTACACGAGCAAATTCTATGTCAGTTGATTCGCTTGTGCCAGTGTATTTATCTGCATTCGCCATTCAATTTGCTGTTTTTAGGTTTTTAAGTGTTGGGTGTTTGCAAACACTTTGATTTTGAGAGAAGTGATTTGGTTGCTGACTTGCTGCAGAGGATGAGTTGGAATCAGACTTTGACAGTGCCTATGGATAAAATTTCATCATTGATTTAGTTGGGAAAGAATGTGTAGTTGAGAGTTAGTAATGGATTTATGTGTGTTCTATAGTAAAATTAGAAGCAGAACTATCAAGAGTATTCGCGAACACATTAGTTAATGCTTTCGCTTATTGTTTTTAACAAATAAACAATTCATTTGTTCATAAGTCATCTTGGTAATTAATGTGATGTAGTTTATAAAGACTTTTTGCATGGAACACAATCTTGTGTATAATAATGATGGTTATGTCTGTAATTCCCACCTATATTATATAACAAGCATATTTTATCTTAAACTTCATTTCCCCTCTTTCTGATTAACAGATTCTTGATGTGAAAAAGGGGCAACCAGAACATGTTCTGAAAGACTTACTTCATGGACGAGGACGTCGAGGAAAATTTTCTTTAACCGTCCAATTTCTTATTAATCTGCTGTCTATTGTCTTATCAGATCGAAAAGAAAAGTATGATTATTTATTGTTGAATTGGCTAGTAAACTCTCAATTTACCAGAATAAAATGTTTCCCCCCCTCATTTTCCTTCATAAATTCCTTTGTCAATGTAGTCATGTAAAGCTGAACCCTTCATATGGAAAAGGCTCATGGTTCGATGCGCTTAAGAAATGTTTGTCCGAATCTAAAAGCGTGCTCCGAGTGCTGGGACTAGATTCTTTTGATAAAGCAGCTGATTATGAGGCTTTAGAAGCTTCAGATAAGCTTAAGCTCTTGAACATTCTATGTGATGAAGTTCTGGAAACTGAGTAAGTACCCCTTTTCCATTTCGGATAATTTTTTATTTCTTTTTTTTAATTAGGTTATATTGCTGTGTGTGCTGCCATTTGTAGAAAGTTGAGGGTCTGGATGGAGATACAAAGAAAAAATCATAATGAGAAGGTCAGAGAAGCTAAACAAAAAGTCGCTGCTGCTAAGGACGAGGTAATATACATTGCAAATAGCTTTCCGTTTTGGAACTGAAGCTGCTTTTATATTTTGGTTTTCTATTTTGTTCTACTTCTAACTCCATCCCAAAGACATGCTTATGATTATTTCACACAATTTAAAAAAATGTTGGTTAATACTCTACTTTCTCAATTGGCAACCTATTCACAATTGTATTTGTTCTTGTTCTTTCGATGCTCTGTCTTTCAAGAGCGCATTTGAGTATGTGGACTGGGATTACACAGTAAAAGTAAAATTATATAGTTACTAAATATGGCGATAGGACATTTTTTTTGGGACACTTTAAATGGAAATGTGACCTATCTTTTCGGACCTGACGGAGTAATATTTTACATCCATCCATCCAGGAGAAGAATTTAAAGCAGAAAATGCAAAATGATATTGCCCAAGCAATTATCGCTAAGCATGGTGCTAATCTTTCAATTTCTGAGCACGAAGCAATTGTATCTGATATAAAGCAAGAAACAGCAAAAGCTCATGCCAAGGTGCTCGAGTCAATGGGCATGCTTTTAAAGAGTAAGTCTTAACACTTTTCCTTCAAGATAACTGGAAATTTATTTATCTAAGGACTCCATTATTTGTGTTGGTAATTTTTGGTAGACATGCAATGGTACTGTTCATTTTTTTACATCTTTAAAGAGTATTTTCTGTTACTAAGAAGAAACGTGATATTTTTTTTAAATTATTTTTAGTATTAGGTTTATATTTAATAGTATAATATAATTTTCTTTCAATTAGTATTTTTTTTCAAATTATTTTTAGTATTAGGTTTATATTTAATAGTATAATATAATTTTCTTTCAATTAGTTTAACAAAAAAATGGTGTATTTTATTGAATAATGAAATATAGTATTTAATACTATTAGCTGAACTCTATGATAAATAAAATTAAATAAAAAAACGTTGGGTTGAAAACCCAAAATAAAGTTAATATTTTTTTAGTAAAAATGTAAATGCTAAAGAAATTTATATCATCTTTGATTTTGTTATTTAATGATATCTTCAATGTGCTTAAAATAATGATCACTATTATTGTCATCATAATATAGTTTTCTAATGTCATCCTTTTGCATCATACTCTTTGAAAAATAACTCAAAATTGTTATAACTATAATTTATAATATTATTTTTTATTTATTGTTGATTGGAAGCTAACAAACTATGTCTGAATATTTCGTTCTCAATTATTTTGATTATAGTGGTTGTAAGTTTAATTATATTTGCAAGTATAATATTTCATAATACTTATATATATAATTATTCCCTAGTCATAATGACATAAGAGATACATAAATATTTGAAAATATCTTTAAAGTCGTAACATTTTTTTATTGATTAAAGATACCCATCTATATATATATCTTCTCCGACATAAATTATTTTGCATCTCCTAACATTGTCATGCATTCATTATCATCATTCCCGGATTTTCAAGACTATCCTAAATGTGAAAATTTACTAATTCCAATTTAAATGAATTATAAAATGATGATTCTTTCATATTTTATTTGTATCTTAATATTATTATTATATCTTCATCAACATTTTATATAGTTTATTTTTCCTACTTTTGCTTAAAATTATGATCATTAATATTGTCATCAAATATAATTTTCTAATGTCATCATTTTGCATCATACTCTTTGAATAATAACTCGAATTTGTTATAACTATAATTTGTAATGATTTTTTTTATTGTCGATTGGAACCTAAAACATTATGTTTGAATAATTCGTTCTCAATTATTTTGATGATAGTGGTTGCAAGTTTAATTATATTTGCAAGTATAATATTTCATAATACTTAGATATATATAATTTTTATCTAGTCATAATGACATAAGAGACATAAATATTTGAAAAATGTCTTTAAGTCGTAATTATTTCAAAAAAAAAAAAAATTACGTGAAAAAACTTAAGAATAATAACATCTTTATTGATTAAAGATACCCATCTATCTATATATTTTGTCCAACATAAATTATTGTTGTATCTCCTAAAATTGTCATACCTGCATTATCTTCGTTCACGGATTTTCAAGACTATCCTAAATGTGAAAATTTAATAAGTCTAGTTTTAATGAATTATAAAATGATGATTCTTCATTTTTTTTCCTCTTAACATTATTTTTATATATTCGTCAATATTTTGTGTAGTTTATTTTCCCTACTTTTGAGAAGTGATTTGAAACATTTAATTTATGAATGATTTTATAAATAAGATATGCTAAAGACAACAAATTTAAAGTAAATTTACTATCTACTATGTTTTTTTATTTAATTAATTTTTATTGTAACTATTTTCTAATAAGTACACATATTATGAAATTCAAGATTTAAAATAGAATATTTAGTTATTTCATTCTATTTCTGTAATTAATCTATTTTTGTTTATATTACAATTCAATAAATGCTATATTAATTTATGTAACACATTATTATAAAAGAACATTTATATTATACATATTATAAACAATAAACTTAAATCATATTATGCAAATTGTTTTAGTGAATAATTTAAACCAATATTTCTGTTAATCATATCTTTTTTACTTAACAAATAACTTTTTTCCATAGAAAGTTGATATTTTGTATGTTGAATAATTATTTCTGATTCAACCATTCTTAAACATATGCATGCTCACTAAATTGTTCCTATTTAATTTTTTTAATACTATAACAAAAATTTGTATGGTAAACAATATGATATTTGAAAAATAAAGATGATACTTTTAGTGGTACATTATATATTTTACACTTATGAAATATCATATATTTTATTTAAAAAATCTTAAAATAATTTTTTCTCTTACATTTTAAAACTCCTTTAAAATAACTAAATCGAAACCTAACGTCATATATAGATTAATTCATAATAATATAATTAAGAATAAATTATTATTTGAAATATATGAATTTGCGTAGGTAATATTTTGTATGTGTAAGAACTTAAAGATATAATTAAGCATAAAAAATAAAAGATAATAAATAAAAGTTGTAATTTCCTAACATTATTAAGAAAATTACATTAATAACCTTAAAACTAATCTTTTTATGAGGGTATTCTTAGCAATTCAAAAGTTTCAAGAAACAACTCTTCCTTTTAAGAGAGTTATAGATCATGCTGTAGATTTGAATTCTGCTCCCATAACACAATTGTCTTCTGAAAGTTGTTGCCCCTTCTCTCTCAGTTGATTTATTATCAGATGGTGTCATGTTAATTAGAATGGCAGTGCTCCCATGTTTCTGTTTTCTTGGGATCCTAGAGACTGAACATATGTTTTTCTAACTTGGAAAAATTAAAGGAATTATTTATTTTTTGATTTCAGTGGTACACGTATTCTAATCTTGAACCCTTGGTTAATCCTTAAAGAAGCTGAATTTGCATTTGAATGAATCAACATAGAATGAGCCCAAGGTCATGTTGTTTTTTTACATGATAAATGACGACATTATTTGTCTAATATCCTTCTAATCCTTACACATCTGAATTTTATGGAACTTCGTGACTGCAACTCACTAGCATGCCTTTTATGGGTAATATTTGTTTTCTATTTTTTTGGTGCATTATTTGTAGATAACAAGTCAGATGTTCTACGAACTGAGCCCATCTTTTCTGGAGTTGGTGGTCATGCATATTGGAAATTGCATTGTATGGGAAAATCTGACCTTGTGCATCAGGGTAAGTGAGATGGAGTTTGTTCTTTTAGTTTCTCTTAGTTGCTGCTGTATTTAGTCTACTTATTTGAATCTATTGTGTTATAGATGCTGGGCAAGGGGATGGGGATGCTACCTTAGATGATAAATGGTTCCTTGTCGATGAAGAAGGAGAAAAAGCTATTGAAAAGTTCATATCTTTGTCAAAGTAAGTTCCAACATCTAATGAGTGACACTTTCTGCACGACCTAATTTCCACAGAAGTAAAAAGGCAAAGGGAGAAAAAAAAGTTACAAGGCAAAAAATGCTGCTAAAGAATCTTGTTTATTAATAACAACTTTTTACTTGGAGTGAGTTTGACTGAGAAGTATTTATTCTTGATGCTGATTTGTCGCCCCTTATCTCACTGAAGTCACTTTTTTTTATTGGTTTTATTCTTTTAAATTACTTTTCTCGTGTTTATGCGTTTCGTTTACATTTTGTAAGTCTTGATTTAAATGGAAGTGATACACTCCCCTACTTCCTCTGAAGCTTTATGCTTGTAAATATGTAATCTTTCTTCAGTTTACTCTTACTACTTTCCCCACTCAAATTTGGTAAATTCTTTGCATGCAGATGGAAATAGGTCGAAGACTTGGCTGATTCATGCTGCAGACATGGCTGATTATATAACATGCCCTTAGCAGCTGCTATAATTATTTTGTTGTGTGTTGTCACATTTTGTATGTGTAATTTCTGGAAAGGCTTTTGCCTGTCCAAGATCAGCTATTTAAATGGTTTAGCAGTACATGAACAAAAATTTACAGTTTCAGTGTTTTGTTTATGCCTTGATGGATTTATAATTAAGATTTTTGTTCTTTTGTTGTCTAGCCCTCTTTTCTTCTGCCAATTCTCCTTATTCTGCGTGTGGACATTCCAGATCTTTCAGTAGAGGAAAGGGAAAAGAAAAGCTTGTGTGACAGCTGATATATGAAATTTAGATTTAAAGATAAAAATATTTTTCTTATAAAACTAAAGAAATCAAGAGAATATAGAGAATCTATTTTCATGGTATGATGTATATTATAAACAAAATTTTTATTTATAAGAAAACTTTTATGACAATTATAAATATGTAATGATATCAGGGGTATATTAGTATTTCAACATTTATGTAATCATAAAGTATTTTGAGGTTGGTGGGGTTGTTTTCACAACACTTGTATTGAATGATTAGTTATAAAATGTATCTAAACTGATACGAAAAAAAACTTTGTAGTTGGTAACCATTAATCAAGTCTTGTTAATTGTTATGTCATGTTAGGAAAACACCATGGAACAAAAAAACCTGATTATTGTGGAACTTGTTAAAGGAGTATTTGTGTGGCCTGACTAAAAACTTGTTAAGAAAAACTTAATTGACAGGAAAATAGTATAGTTGTCGTGGGCTCACGAGAAGTAAGAGAGGTTATATTCTATTTTGTAATAGGGGTGTGTTCTTTGTTAGTTTTTCTTGTGTTTTTGGTTATCTCCAGCTGTGTCGAAGTTGAAGTCTCCAGTGTTCCCCTTTACTGAGGTTTTTAGGTGTTAAATCTATTTTCCCTCTTGCAGTTCGTGCCCACGTAGTTGTTGGAGGACATGGAAAGCTCGGTCAACTTTAACAGATTAGAGAAATGTGACTCGAAAACCGCCCAGCTCTTGATTTTTGCCTCCATTTCGCACTTTGATGAAGTTCAATGGGAGGTTGTTCTTGTGGGGATCTCAATTTGAATTTGCTGATTTTCATGGTCTAATCTTTTTAGGTCATTTGCATCATGTGTACCTATGAATATTGTTGTACCAGTGATGCATAATAAAAAAATTATAATGCCAACATGAACAAGAAAAACATTCCAACACGAAAATAACTATAGGATGAGTATGCTGTGATTTCATAATTCGACAAATTTTCTTAATTTGTTCGGATTACAGGTTGTATTTATCCTTCGATTCTGCCATTGGTTTGAAAAGAACAGTAAAGCATTACCAAAAATTGCATTCGAGTTTTGGACCAAGAGCAAATTGTCTATTAGTTGAGGATTGTCTGCATTTGAGTTATTTTTTCACAATTTTTGTTTTCCAAAGTGAACTAAGACTGAAATGATGAGAGTTATTCTCTTGTTGAAAATGAGATGTAATATTAGCTTCAGGAGACTGTTTGGAATTAAATTTAATCTTAGAGGCTGCAGATTAAGATCAAGATGTAGCAAAGGGAAAAAGAACAAAGAAATTGGAACGAGAAGTATTTTTTAGACGTATGTCCCGATCTCCGCGGACAGATTTGCAGTAAAACACACAAAACTCATGCTATCTGATTCACTCTCAAAATTCACCACTGAATACCAAAGAAGAGGGAGACACTCAAGCCCTAAAACCTATCTTGTCCACCAAGCCACTAAATATAAATAAATATTAAATGTTAATATTAATAATAGATATTAATTAAACTACCAAATATTTAATACAAAAAATAATAGATATTATTTTGCATCAAGAAGATTTTAAAATTATTATTATTATTATTATTATTTTTTAAGTAGTTTGAGTAGAAAAGATTTCACAATTATTATAAATTTTTTGGTTACATTGTATTGTTGACAATTCTTCTGGCATAGTGCTAATAATGAACTAGATCAAAATGGCTCAATTAAATTCTAGTGCTTCTTCTATTAGTGAAGTTTTTAGAAAAAAAAAATATATATCAAACGGTGCAATGCACCTTGAGTCGCTACGGAAACAGCCTCCTTGTATAATTACAAGGGTAAGGTCTGCGTACAACTGACCCCCCAGACCCCAACCTGTTGGTGATATATTGAGTATGTTGTTGTTGTTGTTGTATTGCATTGCATAACAAACTAAGTTAACTAACAAAGACATCCAGCTGCCACATCCTCAACCCACCTAAAAAGTGCATACCAGACGAAACTTAAAACCCCACAAACCACCATGAAGCCCACCAAGAAGCCCGGCCCGATCCCTGCATAAAACCATGGAAACAAGGAATCACCATCACCGTAGTTTTCATCCTCGGAAGGGCACCTCCTCGCTTGTGGCCCCTCGTTGCCTTGGTAAGCCCATGCCCCAATAGTCGCCAGCTGGCTCCCGCTCGGACTTGTTATACGACAAGTTGAGTTGACTCAAAAAGTTGAGGGAAGACAATCCCTGAGGAATATGGCCCGACAAACTGTTGCTTGATAAATCGACCGAAATCAACTACTACCCCCCGTCAGCCTATTTCCCGCCAAGTTCAAATTCCTTAATCCAACGAGGCCCGGGTATTTTACCGTGTTTTCCTATGGACGTGAGGAAGGGCATCGTCTTAGTGTACCGTCTCTCAATGCCAATGCCGTTGACTATCTCTGGAATGCAGTACTCACGTGGAATCTCGAGTCTGTTCAAGTTCCCGATGCAATCGGGTAACTAATTCTCCGTTGTTCGCGAGGTCGAGGATCGTCAAGGTCTCAGACAAAGCTCGGAAATCGACCGGTTAACCGATTGTTGGAGGGCCTCGAGAGTTAGGTTCACAATTGTCCGAGACGTCGAAAATCAAAACGTCCGGGGGCAATGGTCTTAACGGCCCTTCGAATTTGTTCGACCTTAATATCAAACGACGAAAGTCCTCCAACTTTGGTAATAATAGTCCACTGACGTTGTTTCCCGACATGTCGTGAGAATATGACGTGGCGAACCAATAAGTCAACTCGTCATTCTCAAGTCTTTCTGGGTTTTCAGCCATGATGGGAACAGAGGTCCCAAGTTGCAGGAAGTTAGATCTATCTTCTCGAGGCGGCACCCAGTTCGTGCCCACGTCGAAAACTAAGCTGTTGGAAAGCTCGGTCAGCTTTAACAAATTAGAGAAATAAACCTGCCCAGAAAGAGAATTGTTCGAGACGTCCAATTTTTCGAGATTCGAAAGACGTCCCAAGCTCAAAGGGATGCTTTCATTCAAGATGAATGAAGCCGGGATTGGTCTGGTTAACGAGTTGTGAGAAGCTCCAAAAATCTGTACATCCCCTAAACAATAACCTTCTCCTCTGTTTTGATCAGCTCCAAACTCGGGCATTCGTCCTCTGAAATCATTGGCAGACAAATCCAAATACTTCAAATTGCAAAGATTAGTAGTAATACCATCCGAAATCGTCCCCTGAAGCCGATTTTGGGACACATCCAAATAAATCAAGTTTGTGAGCCGGAACAAAGAATCCGGCAAGGACCCGTTGAAAAAATTACTGTCAAAGATGACAGCTCGCCAAACTCTTGGGGTATCGGCCCACGAAAGCCATTTCCATCGAGCCGAAGCTCGACAAGGCCAGTAACGTTAAACAACCAATCCGGAAGAGAATCGGAATCTATAGTGTTCCACTGAAGATCCAACGACACAAGAGAAAGAAAATAATAATGCGAAAGAGGAGGATTAATTGTGGAAAGCAGTGTATTCAAAAGGTTCAGTTTGGTCAGGGAAGGTAGCCCGCTAAGTGGGCCCAACCATTCCGCGGCTCGGCCCAAGTAAACTCCCGACAGGTTCAGCTGTCTCAAAGACGAAAGGCCCAAAACCCAATGCAGACTTTTGGAAGTCAGCCTGTTGTTCCAAAAATCGCTCACGTCCAAAATTTGCAGGCTCGAGAGCTTCCCGATTTCAGGCGGGATTTCTCCTGAGGGAAAGATTGAGATGTCTCAGATTGTTGAAGGATCCCAACAAGTGAGGAATGGGAGAAGCTGAAAAGTTGTTGTGGCTGAGATCGAGAAGCTGTAAGCTGTGGAGGTTGAGTATAGCCGGGTTTAGGCGGCCTCTTAAACAGGATTTAGTGTAGTATGAGATGTATGCCTCATCCTGGGAGTTGTAGAAAGTGTCGGGGGTCGGATTGTGAAGGTTTAGTCGTAAGACGTGACCTGTTTTGTTGCTGCACCTGATCCCTGCCCATGAACAGCATTCTTGTCCTGTCCACGAGGATAATCGGCCCCATTCATCAGTTAGGCTTTTGCGGAACTCGGAAAGTGCTATCCGCTCTCGTTCAATGCATTTCATTGGATTTTCTGGGCTGCTGCTAAATGCTTGGCTTTGTGTGAAAACAAGTGTGACAAACATAAAAGCTGTGGTCAACATACCCATGCTTGAGTGACTGTGATAAGGGATGTGTGTGTTTAGAGCTAAATGCATTACAACCTGTGTTTTCTTCGTTTTTAATGAAGAATATTGGTAGAGGTTGAAGATAATTAGCATGTGAGTGTGAGAAAAGATGGACATCAAGTTTACTTGGAATTTTAGTCTAAGACTCTAGTGTTGCTGAATTCTTTTTAAATTTGTTGTCACTGCTTTGTTGTCAATGTTGCCGTAAATTGAGATAAGCGGGCCAATTATTAATCATTTTTTCAGTCAATGGTCAGATCATGAAAGCANAAAAAAAAAAAAAAAAGGAATGTCATTATAAGAAGAGGTCAATAATCAGATCATTTATAATCGATCCATTGGATAAGTCATGGTTAATTCTTTTATGGATAGTAGTGGACTTTCCCATCCATTCATCCATCAATGACCTTGAAGAAAGTTATTTATTCCTACCACAAATCCCCAGCATCTGAAGAAAGTTATTTATATTTATTTATTTTTTTGCCAATGTGGATGAAGAAAATCAACCTGTCATATCATGAAGCAATGAATGATGACAGGTAGTAAAAGCACTGCAACAAAAGCTGGAGGCACTGGAGTTAAACAAAACATGGAAATCACTACACTCCAATCTAACAAAAAGGCAATTGGATCAAAATGGGTCTTCAAAATCCAAAGAAATTTTGATGCAACTGTGGAAAGATTTTAAGACAAGATTGGTTGCAAAGGGGTATATATAGAGAGCTTTTCACCTGAAACTTCTTGTTGCATTAGCTACAACAAATGAGTGGAGCATACATCAACTTGACATTAATAATGCCTTTTTGCATGGGAACTTAAGTCAGAGAAGTTTACATGAAAATGCCTGAGGGGTATAAGAAAGGGACTACAGGACAAGTACGCTTTACTGAAAATGGGCTTAAACAAGCCTCTAGAGAATGGAATGCAGAATTATTTGCTAAGCTGACAGATTTTAACTTCAAGCAATTAACACATGATCATTAATAATTCATAAGGAAAAAGGAGGACAGCTTCCTGGCCCTATTAGTGTATGTTCACTATGTGTTAATCACACGATCACATGAAAAAGATATTCAAAAATTTAAAAACCTTCCTTGATCAAGCCTTCACAACTAAAGACCTTGAAAATGCAAAGTTCTTTTGGGAATTGAAATAGCAAGGAACTTACCTCAACCAAAGGAAGTATGTGCTTGGCATATTATCAAGCACGGGACTATTGGGATGTAAACCGGCACAAACACCATTGCCCCCGACATAAAACTCAGAGCAGTTGAGGGAGAAGGGTTGTCAGATCAATTAATATCCGGTGACTGACCTACGAGTATTCGGGCATGTTAGTAGTTGTCAGATCAATTAAATGGAAAATCAAATACCATCTTGACCCATAAACCCATTGTGTTAGTAGTTACCCCTTCTGATGTTTTTCAGTTGAAGGCGGAAAAACTGAACTGTTTCTTTATCACTTATTGTTCTTGCTAAATTCAGTAGTTTCTTATTTCTATTCTTTTCATCCTTCTTCCCTTTTATTCGGGGGCTTGTAGATCTTCAAGATATCAACTCTTCCAGGAGATGGCAGCTTCAATCAAGCCTCAAAATTTTCTCCTCAAAATTTTCTCCTCAATTTTCCCAAGATCTTATTACAGTGGATCTTTTTTTCCTTTCACATATATTATCGCGAAGGAGACAATACATTAAAGCAGTTATTGACATCCTGATGAACAATAAGTATAGATAGAACCCAAACAAAAAATAAAAATAAAAAATAAATAAAGACACATAGTATTATTCTTTGTTTGTAATTGTGAAGGGGCAAGGAAAATATCGAAACAACACATTTCAAACCAACACCATATGGGCAGAAAACGAAAAAGAAAGATGGATTAATTGAGTTGGAATGTAGGGGTCAGCTTATAACTAGCCGCTTGAGTATAGCAGCCATGTACTGCCCCTGATGCTCGGCAAGGGCTAGCTCGGTTTCACTTGCCTCTCTTGTGCCATCACCTGCAAAGACTCCAGCACCGTACGGAGAACCACCTCTAATCGAGTCCATTTTAAACATGCCAGCACCAAAAGTGTAGCCAATGGGAACAAACAACATGCCATGATGGGCTAGTTGGGTGATAGCAGTCCACCTGCATTATACAAATTACACTTTCAAGATAACGTTGAAATTTCGTACTCTAGGGTCATCTGTTACTACAGAAATTAACAATTCATAGATCAACATTCAACACAATACGATCTCCCCCTTACGCCTTTGACTCTGGAAAAGTTCCTCACACAATAATGATGTTCATCGTGTTATACTAAAATGAGATGGGTCTATTCATAACAAGATGGGGCTTGGAGCATGCTGCCAACTTTCCTCATATGTTCTCTTCTTACAGAATCAACTAGAACTTGTAGAAAAACTAAACAACCAGACATGCATAACTTGCCAGCTATATAGGGGTGGCAGGACAAATAACTTATTGGATGTTATACTCTCACGGATTATATGTTCAACTGCCTCATTTAGATATAGAACCATTAGCTGGGTAAAAGGATCATGAGAAAAAAAAAAAAACTAAGAAAAAT